CTTCTCTTCTCTTCTCTTCTCTTCTCTTCTCTTCTCTTCTCTCTTTGGATGTGTGCTTCATGTTGAAGTGAATGGGAGTCTCAAAGAGAGGTCTGCCCTGTGCGCTCTGCCCACATAAATTACTCTTCGAAAACCCAGGAAAATCTCACGCTTCAAAACCGGACTTGCAGGCACCACCACAGACTTGCAGATCAGCTGCCATCTTCTGCTTTTTTTCAGTGTGTCGTATTGATATTTGACACCGTTATGCTGGATGCACCTTTAGAAACAGGCCTTTTTTTTCTTTCCCTTTTTAATGGCAAGCAAATAAGAATGATTAAGTGTAAATATCTGTGTATATGAGTGTGCATTGCTGGTTGGTCAATATATATCAGTGGTTTGGGAGCTCTGTTGGTACAAGCTCAGTTTAACTACTGTTCTTGCGTTCAAAGCATAGGGGGAAGTACAGAAAAATGTTTTGAAAAATGTAAATTGGCAAACTTTGTTTTGTGCTTATTAGTGAATGTATGTGCGGGAGTGTGTGAGAGCATTTCGTATTTTTTAGATCCCGGACTGAACACCTCAAAACATTACGATTCTAAAATGCTGCTTAACACATTGTTCCCATAATCACCTGATATGAGCTGCGTTTATAGCATTGTAACCTAGATCACATTTGTCCTCTTTGATACACCTTACTTAAAAATCGCTCATTTTTGAAACGTAGAACATATGTGTGACCAGAACTTAATTAGCATTCACAATACAAACATTTTAGTGAAAAAAAGGTTACAATGTTACAAAGTCTTGTAATGTGCCTAGTGTTCTGTTGGTACCTTAAGGAAATCGGGAATCACAGGTAAGACTAGTTAGGGTGTGTATGTGAGCGAGTTTGTGTGGGTGTATGAGTGTATGCTAGAAGGGTGTTCTTGTCTTGTGGTAAATTACCCCTTTCCTTGTGAACTGGGACATTTAGTGTAATGACCAATAAATCCCATCAACACAACATTGCCTGAATCATGTTTCTTGAGCTCTCTGCAAACCACAAAGGAGTTTGTTTAGAGCCTCAGTGTTCTCTTCTGGGAATTGTAACTGCTCTCTTGCTTAATTCGACCCATTATTTTAATTCTGCATATATTCTGCAACACACCAGACATTTGTTGTTTTATAGGATAGTTACAGTAAAATCTACTCTTGGGGGGAAAAAAAACTACTGCCTTTGTGGTTTTATAGGTATTTTAGGTAAGATTGTAATTTTGCAAGATTCTAACTAAAGTTGAATGAATTAATATTTGAACCGTCTTACAATACATCTGAAGTGCAGAATCAGTGTTAGACCAACATAATCGTAAGAAACTGCCCTCATTAAAAGGTATAGTGAGGTCATTCCATGAAAAAGGGTGTCTTTT